TTTGATCCAGGCACAGCGCTGTGCCCCCCACCTCCTGGGCAGTGCCACAGCTGGAGGGGGTGCTGCGGGAGCAGCGAGCGGGGATGCCTTGTGCCGAACGGCCCTGATCAACATCTGGGGAAAGACCAGCAATAACACGAGGTGTAGCCCACCCACTGCATAGCTTGACGACATTCTCCCACCCCCATCCCCCCCCCCCCCCCACCCCGCCCTCCACTGTGCTACGGCTGCAGTTAGGGCAGGGATTGGGATTAGGGTTGGGACCGATAAGAGGGTTGAGATTGCAGCTGGGGAAGCTGGTGTCACTTAAGCTCTCCATGAAGGGCACTACATAAATGCAAGTTGTTGTTGTTGTTGACCACCCCCACAGCTAGGCTGACCGTACGTCCCCGATTTCCAGGGACAGTCTTCCGGATGAAATTGGCCCAGTCATGGGTTTAGCAACAAACTGAGCAAGAACAATAAAATTCCAAAACAGATATAGTCATCACAGAAACACAGCCATTAAACAATTAAGCAAGCTTCTCCAGTGATTGCCAGCATCATGAGTTGTGGTATGTTCATTTTTTTTAATGTGTGACTGGATTTGGTTTACAAAATATGATCACTCTTCTCACTCCCTCTCTCCGAGGGTTCCTATTCCCTCTCCCTGAGGGCCCTGCACTCCCCCACCCCACCCTGATGAGCACTGGTACTTTTAGAATTAGTGATGAGGGGGCCTGAATAATGGTAGGGATCGTGGTTGGAGTTGGGGGTTGGAGTCAGGGTTCTGGTCAGAGATGGTGTTTGGATAATGGTCAAGCTTGAGGTCAGGGTCTGGGGTAAGGATCATGTTCAAATTGAGAGCTGGAGTCATGGGGTCACAGACTGCGTTGGGGTGTGCAGTCTTGGTGGAGTTGGAGTTTAGAATCAGGAGTCATTGTTAGAGTTGAGGGTCAAGGTTAGGTTCACTTGTCAGCATTCACGGTAAAGATTGGGGGGCTTGGGGTCAGGATCAGTGTTGGGAATTATGGTTGGGGTCAAGTGTCTGGATCGAGGTCAAAGATTATAAGGCTGGGATCAGGGGTCATGGTCAGAGGTAGGGGCCAGGGTTGGGGTCAGGAGCACTCACTCACCGAAGACTTGGGGCCTGGCTGCCGAGGTTGCATTGCGAATACATGGCAGCAAATGGTTTTCTTCCCGTTCATAGGGGGCATCTCCGCTCTGCTCGGGGATGAATGGATCTCGGTCGCGAATCCCAGCGTTTCCTGCCCCAGCAACATGTTGACTCATGTTGTGACTGCAGCCACCTGGCAGCCTTAGTACTCGAGCCCGGCACCTGCAAGAGAACCTGAGACCTAGCTCTTTTGCAGCCCATATTCTGCCCCAAACTCTGGCCCATTCCTCGGTCCATCCCTGACCACTACCCTAACCAGCACTCCCAGGTCAGCTACAGCAAGGAGAGATATAGAGTAAAGCTCGGAAAAGATAGATAAGCACCTTGGTTTAACATCTCCAAGGATAGTAACTTCAGCAATGCAGGTGCTCCCCAGGACTGAACTGGAGTGTTAGTCTAGGCTATAAGCTTAAAGTTTGAACTTGGGATTTGAACCCACAACTGACTCAGAGACAAGAGCGTTACCAACTGAGCAAGGCTGTTGGATATAGCAAGCCTATATATAAAAAAAATTGTGGGATCCCTGGCTACTGTCTTAAATATATCCTGTGAAGCGCTTTGAGACGTGCCGTGACTATATCAAATGCAAGGATTACTATTAAGGGCAAGGGCAGGGGAGGGGGATACTGAACAGACGATAGCTCTTAAAGAGAGGCAGTCTAGCACGATGACCTGAGGACTTTCTCTGTGCTGATGAGTTCTCTGCTTCTATTGCTTTATATTGTTTTACTTGGTGAGTTCCCTCCATTCCCTCCGCTCAGTGAACACTGACTTGATTTATATCCCCCGCTCTATCTGCTCCAGCGTATGGGCACGAGCTTTCAGCCATTCTGCCCACACTCCCTGGAACTCCGTCGCGGAGTCACACCGCCTCGCTCTCCCTCCCTCCCTCCCTCCCTCCCTCCTCACCTTTAAAGCCTGCCTCACATTGTATCGCATTACCTCTCCTGCAGGGCTGTGTCAGTCTCAGGCATCCAGCTCACCATGTAGGTCCCCAGCGATCCCTGGCGTCTGTAGGTCTCTGCATCATGTTACAGGGAGGAGAGCTGCCGCAGCCCTACTCGGCCCCTATAGCTGCCAGGGCTCCCTCTGTGAGGTCACAACATCACTGCCTGACCTCAGGCTCCTTTCTTGCTACCCACAGACTTGCCCAATTTTGACAACAGCGAGCGAGAGGACCCAGGTTCGATTCCCCGGGCAGGACAAAACCTTTGGCAGGATTCCTTACTCCACATATCTGTTTACCCTAGCAGTAAGTAGGAACTCGATCGCTTTCCGGGGGTAATAATCAAAAATATATAAAATAATAACAATTTTGTCACTCAATCCACGACTGTGTTTGTGGGACACTATTGTGCACAATTGGCTGCTGTGTTTCGCCCACAAAATATACGGTCAATTGGCTTTACAGTATTTCTGTGAAGTGCTTTGAGATGTCTCAATAATGTGATAAAGCGCCATATCAAATTCAAGGATTATTATTATTCTGTCAATATGACAACAACAAGAGCAATCAGGGAAGAAGCTAAAACTCAGGGATTCAAAGTTGTAAAAAGGCAAATAGGAGATAGTAAACATATCAAACAGCTGCTTCTTAGAGTTTGTTTTTACACAGTGCTAAAACCTTTCCCCCATTAGGAGTCAGTGCCTTGGGCCGCCCTTCCAATGTGAAAGGCGCGATATAAATGTATTTTGTTGTCGTTGCTGCTGCTGCTGCCTTCGACACCATTGACCACTCTATCCTCATCCACCGTCTCTCCTCTCGCCTCAACCTTCATGGTTCTGCCCTTGACTGGTTCAGATCGTACCTCTCACACCGCCTCCACTTTATCTCCACAAACAGTTTCTCGCCTAGCCCCGCACCGTCTCTGGCCTTGGTCCCCTCCTAACCCCCTACCAACCTACTTCCACCTTCTGGAACTCCATCCAGCAGTCCCTCCACCTCGCCACCTCCCTTGCCTCCTTCAAGACCCATCTCAAGACCCTCCTCTTCAACTGTGCTTTTGATCACCCTTCTTCCCACCCTGCCCTCCACCCTCCACAATCCGACCCCCAGGTTGGGTCCGGAACATTGACTGTCCAGAGCCTTGGAACATCCTCCTGACGTGAAAGGCGCTATACAAATGTAATTTTGTTGTTGTGGTTGTCAGTAGCCATGGAAATGCAACAAACCCTTTGGTGACACAGTGTCACCCGGATTGGAGATCATCTCCAGACAGACAACAGAGGATCAGTATTGGGCAGGGTACTAATCCACCTCCATCTCAGTCCATTTACCTGATTTACCAGAGTTAAATGGAACACAAGTGGAACCTTCCCAATATTTTACATAGAATTACATAGAACGATATGCACGGAAACAGGCCACTCGGCCCAAATTGTCCCTGCCAGTATTTATGCTCCATATTGATTCCACCCCTTCTATTCCTGATGGTCCAAAACCAGACATAGGAACATAGGAACAGAAGTTGGCTATTCAGCCCTTCGAGCCTGTTCCACTATTTAATTAGATCATGGCTGATCTTTACCTCAACGAATCCTTTCAATTCTAATTTTTCCACTTTCTCCCCATATTCCTTAATATCCTGACCTACCAAAAATCAACCTCACTCTTGAAGGTGTGGATGGATCCAGCATTCATGGCCTTTTGGGGGAGAGAATTTCAGATTTCTACCACCCTTTGAGTGAAAAAATGCTTAAATCACTCTTAAATGGCCTGGTTCTAATTTTAAAACTATGCCCCCTTGCTTTGGATTCCTCCACCAGAGGAAATAACATATCTGTATCTACCCGATCGAATCCCTTTATTCTCTTAAATACCTCAATCAAATCACCCCTCAACCTTCTAAACTCAAGGAAAAATAATCCAAGTTTACGCAGCCTTTCCTCGTAACTTAACCCTTTTAGGCCTGGTTCTGTGGAACCTGCGCTGCACCCCCTCCAGAGCCAATATATCTTTCCTGAGGTGTGGTACCCAAATATGAACGCAGTATTCCAGATGGGGATCTGACTAACGCTCTATACAGCCGAAGCATCATTTCTTCCCCTTTGTATTCCAGGCCCTTGAGGTAAAGGCCGACATTCCATTCGCCTTTTTGATTACTTTTTGCACCTGGGAACTAGTTTTTAGTGATTTGTGGATATAGACACGCAAATGTGTTTGGTCCTCCATAGTTCTTAATTTCTCCCCATTAAGAAAATATTCTGCTTTATCCTTTTTCGGTCCATAGTGGATGACCTCACACTTCCCTACATTGAACTCCGTCTGCCATAGCTTTGCCCACTCACTTAATCTGCCTAAGTCCCTTTGTAACAGACAAACCGTGCAGATATAGAATGCAATTTGTTTGCATGCTGCTGCAAATATTTTTGAAGCTACGTCTTTGAGACGTCTCAACAATGTGATAAAGCAAATGCAGGGATTATTATATTATTATTACATCTCTCACAAATCACCACAAAAGTCAACTGCACTATTAGGGTGGGGGGGGAGGGGGAGCACAAAATATGACAAGGCAGAGCTATTTCGTAAAGCACATATTAACCTTTAATTGGGATCATTTCAGATTATAACAGTGCAGGCAACACTTTCACTCTTCATCCACTCTTCATCCTCGACTTATCCTCTCTCTCTCTCCCTCTGGACTTTCTTCTTTAGACTTTGCTTCTGGTTTGCAATGTGGCTCCAGGTTAGATGAACCTTTGGCTCTCTCCTCTCAGTGCGGCCAGCGCTTGCATTTTCCAGCGCAGAGCATACCCCCAGCTCTGTGGGTCAGGGTTAGTCCTGGGCGGGATGGTTGCATGGTTGAGGTGCAGGAGTTGCACTGCTTTCCAATCTCTTGTGTTATTGGCAATGAGCTGAGTGCCGCTGCGGTTTACTAGGGGCGTCCGTTGTTGCACAGTTGTGTGGTCCCTCCTGGTCGCAGTGTGGACCCCTTCATGGCTCCATGCAGCCACAGGAGACGCTTGAGCCCCTCTCTCGCTCTTCCCTTGTCGTGCATCAGCTGGTGCTCTGTAACCGTCCGCTTCCTACAGACCAGAGCAGGAGAGAAGGTGTAATTCAGCCCCAAACACCTGAGAACCCGAATCTGTCACCGAATTACGCCCAAGACCATTATATTAAACTGTAAGATCTCACAAAATAGTGGTAAATTAATCGAGATGAGATCAGCGCTTTCAATCCACAATAGTTATACCCGAAATTGGAAGATAGTAAATGTGACAACAGTATTCAAGAACGGAGGAAAAGACCAAGTAAAAAAAACAAGTAACTCTAGGGCTGTGGGCTTAACAGGTATAGGGAGATTACTGGAATCCATCATTAGGGACAGGGAAAGGGACACTCAGCCTGGTCTCTGAAAGGTAGATCACGTCTCATAAATGTAATAATAATTATAATACTAATAATCCTTGCATTTGATGTAGCGCAATATCACATCATTGAGATGTCTCAAAGAGCTGAAAAGTGAATTGACTCTATATTTTGTGGGCGAAACACGGCAGCCAATTGTGCACAGCAGTGTTGTATAAACGATCGTGGATTGAGTGTCCAATTTTTTTAAGGGATTATTACCCCCAGAAAGCGATCCGCCAATTAACTAATAACCGGGTTCTTACTTACTGCTAGGCAAATAGAGACGTGTGGGGTAAGGAAACTTCCCTGCCCAGGAATCGAACCCTCACACTGGCGAGGCGAGTTCTCTAACCAATACACTGGCGTGTACTTGGTGTGGACACAGGTCAAATAGCATTCACACGATGAACACTGACAATACTACACCAGAGAGAGAAAAGGCAGGACTCACATCTCCAATGGATTCTGGGCTGTGACTGAAGAGCAGAGCAGGAGAATAGCTGCAAAACGCAGAGCGTGATTAGGAATCATCACTCCCGTAGCCTGGTGCAAGGCGGAGAGAAGCAGAGTTAGTGAACGGGTGACCCACACCTCACACATGGCTTTCACCCACAAATATAAATCAATTCACTTTACAGCATATTCCGTGAAGCGCTTTGAGACGTCGAGAAGACGTGATAAGGCGCTATATCAAATGCAAGGATTATTATATATTATTATTACATACCACTGACACATTCACATTGTCACTTGCAATGAATTCCACATTCTAACAACCCTCTGAGTGAAGAAATTCCTTCTAATCTCTCTCTTTATCTTTCCAACTCCAACCGTGAGGAGACACTGGACTTGCTCGAGAGTGACCAGATGGACAGAATGTCATTTGTCACTTTGACCAGGGCTGTTTCTGTGCTGTGGGCAGCACGGAAACCTGATTGGAGGGGTTCATTGAGGGAGTAACAGGAGAGGAAGGAGTCCAGCTGGAAAGCAACAACTCATTCCCGAACCTTGGAAAAGAAAGGGAGATACCGGACTCTCGAGCAAGTCCTTGACCTTTCTGCTGCCTTTGACACTGTCGACCATTCCATCCTCCTCCGCTGACTCTTCTTTCACCTCAACCTTCATGCCCCCGTCACCAGTTCCTCAATTAAAATAAATATTTTTCCCTATCCTCCCTGTCATGCTTTTCCATTATCTTAAAGACCTTTCTCATATCCCCTCTCAGTTTCCTCTGTTCCAGTGGAAAAAGGCCCAATTTCTAACCTTTCTTCATATCTATATTGTCTCACAGCCCGAATCATCCTTGTGAATCTGATAGCTTTGTTTACTCTCTGTCCCACATTTAATTATGTATTGGTACCCAGATGCTTCTACTTTACTCCAAGTGAGTTATCTTTTAAGTTATTTTTCATGGTTATTCTCCCTATTACTTTCCTGAAATGTACACTCACGCAGACAAACATATAAATACACGAGCACAGACGCACATACCCACATACATACTCGTAGACACACACAGGCACACAGTCACAGGCACACATAACACACAAATGTTTATACATACAGAGAGACACAAATACACACACATATGCATACGCACAGACAAACAATCAACAACAGCACAACTTACAGTGTCTCAGAATGCTTCACACCTACTGGGTCACACGTCAAGCAAGGGAGAGGGGGAAGGTGGGGAGGGGGAGGTGGTTTTGAAGAAATAGATTTTTAGGTGAGACTTAAAGACTGAAGACAAGGTAGAAGGAAGGAGTTCCAGATCTTAGGAGTATCTCGACTGAAGGCTTGTCCACTAAGAGTGATATAGAGAGGGTGAGTGATTGGATGGGACAAACAGAGTAAGACAGGAGAAGATCACAGAAATCAGGAGATGCCAAGGTGTGGATGGATTTGTAGGTGAGGGTGAAGACCTTGAAATCGATCTACTGGCAGACAGTGGAGCCTGGCAAGGACTGGGTTGATATGGATGCGGAATTTGGTGTGGATAACTATTTGCACGAGTTCCAGCTTGTGAATGGTGAAGCTAGGGAAAGCAGCGAGGAATTAGAAAAATCTAAACGGGATGTAACACTGAGTGTTTCAGTGGTATTGGGTGTGAGATGGTGGTGGAGGCAGATGACATGGTGGAGGTGAAGGAAAACTCTTTTGGTCAGGGACCAGATATGATGCAGAAGGTATAAATGAGGACTGAACCAGACTGAACAGTCATAGATTTATAGATGCAGAGGCAGTCACAGACACACATGCTGTCCAACGAAAGAGGAACAAAATAGTAAGAGTAATTTAAAATAGTAATTTAAATAGTAATTTAGTCACTCAATCCACAACTGTTTGAGGGACACTGCTGCGCTATTGGCTGCCACATTTTGCCCACAAAATATTCAGTCAATTTACTTTAGAGTATATTCTGTGAAGCACTTTAGACATCTCAACGACGCGATAAGGCAATGCAGGGATAATTATTATTATTATTAACAGAAGAGATAAAAAGTGGAAGATGTGCAGAGCCAAATGCACCAAACGATTAGCAAAAGAAAGGAGAAAACGGTGATAGAGAAGAAACAAGGCAAGACATAATAATATAAGCTGGAAAAAAAGATGATACATACGCAAACAAAAAACTTTGCGAATAAATTGCAGAAGTTTGTTGTCTCCTGACGGTCGCTGGAGATTGCTGTTTGCAACGCCTTGCTCAGCAACCGTGTGCTCTGCCCGAAGAAAGTGTTGCTGTTAAACACGTCACACAGCAGGAGTCTGTGAGGAGCTGAGTGCATCAGGAAGTCAGCACTAACCTCCCTCCTGCAACCTCCACATTTAAATAGGTTCTTAAAGAACGGAGTCGCACGTCAGTGAGCCGAAGGACAAATGAGGAGCCTTGTCTACAGCCACACTGGGAATGTCTCTCGTTCAGGGGGCAACATCGATGCTTTATCACATCGTAAAGGTTTCTGAGCCCTACAGTGATAACTTAATATGTCCTTAGGTCCCTGCTCCTCATTGCCTCACACACAGTAGTCTTACCCAATGTGGTTCAAATAAAGCCTCCCTCCAGGGAGCAGCGATGGACTTCGGAGATTTCTAAGGTTCAGAAAAAATCTTCCACCTGTTACTGTGATAATAATAATAATATTAGTCCATTTTAGTCCTAAAATGCCTATAATGTCCAAAACATCTCAGAGTGACACACAGGTAATTGCTGTCAAGTGTAGTGACCATGTGTTTGTAAGCAAATGCAGCAGCCAATTTGCTCACAGAACAGTCCTACAGACTGTTAGAAATGAATGAAGTAATTATCTGGAGGATTGCTATCTGGAATGATGGGAGAAATATCTTTCTCATTTCCACCAATCTAATGTTTCTCACAGTAGTTTATTAACACAAAGAAAATGAAAGTGCAGAGGAGGATGTGGTCTATTAGACAATGGATTGGGTAATAAAGTGGGAGAGAATAAGCACATGGCAGAATTGTTACAAGAATATTGTGCTTCAGTCTTCACAGTGAGAAAAAGGGAGATGGTACGAGATGCTGGGATTTAGTGAAGTGATAAAGTTATAGGGATTAGTATAGAGAGAACACTATAAAAGACTCACGATTTTTTAATAATGACTGCTTTCATCTTATTGAACGCCCTCATTGGTTGTTTCCTTTCTTTAACGGATTCACTGCCTTTTCCAGGAATACCCACAAAATGCATTCTCTGGAGTCCGTGTGATGTGCACTGATTTCCTGTTGGTATAAGATGATAAACTCAGGCTGGCTTGGACAATAGAAAAAACAGATGAAACATTAAACCAAGGTCCCGTCTGCCCCTTCAGGTGGACGTTAAAGATCCCAAGGCACTACTCAAAAAGTGATACTTCCTCCCAACATAAAAGGTACTATATCTAGGATAATAATAATCCTTATATTTAATACAGTGTCATGTCAATATCATGTCATTGAGACGTCTCAAAGCGCTTCACATAATAAACTGTAAAGTGGAGCGACTATGTATTTTCTGGGCCAAACATGGCAGCCAGCTGCGCACATCAATGTCCCACAAACAACCATGAAATTAATGACCAATTTTATTTGGGGGATTGTTGGCCAGGACACCGGGAGATACTTCCTTCTAGGCAAGTGAGAGGACCCGGGTTCGAATCCCGGCAGGAAGAAATGTTGGACAAGTTTCCTTACTCCACACACCTCTATTTACCTAACAGTAAGTAGGAACCCGGTTGTTAGTCGATTGTCGGATTGCTTTTCTGGGGATAATAATCCCTTCAAAAAGAATAATAATCTGGTCACTCAATCCAAGACTGTTTGTAGGACACCGCTGTATGCAATTGGCTGCTGAATTTTCACCACAAGATATACAGTCAAATCATTATACCGTGAAGCGCTTTGAGACTTATCAAAGGCGTGATAAGGCTCTATATCAAATGCAAGGATTATTAAGGATTATTATTCTCTTTCCAAATACAGTTGTGCCATTAAAGATAACATCCACCTGAATAGACAGACAGGACTTCGGTTTTACATTTCATCTGAAGGATGTCACCTCTGACAATGCAACACCTCTCTGCCAGCACTGCAGTGGAGATTCAGTTTAGGCTGTATGACTCCAAGTCCTGATATGCGGCTTGAACCCACAACTTTCTGATTCACAGGCGAAAGTGGTTCCACTGCGCCAGGCTGACAGCATTATTATAAAACCACATTTACTAATATGTTTTTGTTTCTTCAAAGAAGGAAACTTGCCTAAGGTTTCGCCCCCACCCAGGAATTGAACCCGTGTTCTCTTGCTTGCAAGGCAAGCGCGATAACCACTGTACTACAGGATTCCACACCCTGAGATTCTACGCCCAGGGAGGTTAAGGGTTAATTTGAACATCCCACTCACAAATGTACTTTGAAATATTAAAGAGGTCAATCTTCACAATTATTCACACCTGGGCAGCTGAGGCTGGCAGTAATATTCTAGTTTATAGATGGAACAAAGAAGCAAAGGCTCCTGAGATCCTCCACCATACGCAGGTTATTTTACTGGTGTGGAAATTCCCATAAATAATAATAAATAACAATAATAATACTTGAAAATAATAATAATCTGAGTAAGGCAGCCACTAATCAGATACTTTCACAGCAAGTGTGTCTCAGGCACCATTACCTTCTAGGTGACTTATTAGAATATCTGAGACATACCTTCAGCATGAGATGAAATGCATTTCTTCATTCTGTGCAAGTAGCTTGAGCCATTTTGTTAGGCACATCTCCACACTGGCTGCCTCTCTGTCTCTCCTTGGGTAAATTCCTAGGCGGCTACATTTCATTATTCCTCTCACTGTATCTGGGATAGATGAAGCTATAATCTGCATCTAACCTGTGAGAAGGGATTTCCTCCTGGTATCCTGGCCAACAATCTCCCACATAATATTTGTCATCCACTTCATGACTGTTTATGGGTCATGATTCATTTATGTGGGTAAAATTGATTACCTTTGGCTGCAAAAACACAGTCACTACACTTTAGTGAACAACA